CACCATTAGGCATTCTTTAAATATTGATTATAATCAGAAAAGTGGCTGTCACAATAGCACTTGATTGAACTGTTCCTGAACACATTGCAGATACCTAGTTTCTTGACAAAGAGACAAATTATAAAATCCTCTCTCAACTGTGACACCATCCTTACTAAGGCAAATTCCCACTGAAGTCAATGAAGCTTTGATGGAGGACAATCGGAATAAGGGCTTCGGAGTTTGGCCTAAAATTAAGTTAATGTTTTAACTGCTGCCAGCCCATTCAACATGGCCAGCTGGGAGGAAAACAACTGGATTCTGCTCTGCTTCACTAGGCCATTGACACAGTGTACAATCAACTTCTTCCACAGTCTTCCTTTACGTAGGAGTGAGAGGATCAAAAGACCATCCTGTTCTATTTGGCAGTGTAGCCATAGCTAAGTGACTTAGGACCAAGATATACAACTGACATACATTTTTGACCAAAGGCAGGGTAGATTTGCACCTTATAGACTACATAAATCAGAGATGTATGGCATAAGTTTTCATAAGCAGAGGTGTGGTGCTGTGATGGGACTGCAGGAATCCATTTTTAAACTAGTCTTTTATAAAGGGACCTATTAGAATTGTCACCCTACATCCCATTTTCTATAGAGTCTGTGGACTGTTGGTTAATTTATTGCTCCAATAAATTGTTGAATGAGGCACATATGGACTAAGAAGGGGAAGTTCTATGGTACTCTGCTGCTATCACTACTGAAATTTGACCTGAAAGCTCAACTAGGCTCTCCAGTTCCAGGATTCTGGCTTTGCTGAAAGGGACCAGCCCTTTGCTGAAGGGGAAAGCCTTTAGTTTCTATTGGTTTCAATAAGAAATATAGTCAACTCAAACCTGTTGTTGTCTGATTTTTTTTGCATGGAAAAAAATATAAATCCTGGCCAAAAAAATAATTTGCACAGAACTACCTTCTAACTATGCTTCTTGTAAAGATAATGTATTCAACTAATAGAGACTGTGATGAGACTCAGGAGCATATATAGGCATAACAACACAGTGAAGCCCACTTAGAAGAATTACCTAGAATAAAATATTGATAAGACTCAATGTCCCAAAGTATTTAATGTACCTCTCAAGGATAAATGCAGCTGTTACCACAATTGCTGTTAAACGATGCATTTTTTAAACCTGGATTTTTCCAGCGGGGTTTCTGGTGCTGTTGTTCAAATGTTAACCCTACTTGCCCCAGAGACCCCCAGAATAGGCCCACTTAAACTTCAAATCCCCCATCTTATAATTAAAAGGTACACAACAAGCAGAAAGAAATCTAAAGAATCTTCCTGCTAGGGAAAACGGTGGTGAGACAATTATGCCAACCCTGAAGCCCCAAAAACTGGGACAAGAAGCAAAGGGAAGTTCATATAGAAAATCATAGGGGTTGTGGTCACAAGCCAGTGGGTCAAAGGGATGGAACAGGTAAAAGATAAAGACATATCAACACTCTGGTAACATATATTCAGCAACTCTGGAAGCCCACTTCCACAGGTGTCCCCAGACAAGCCTTTAGCCTGTAGTGCACTCAAACAGCAGCCTGCAGCTTCCCCTAAGTCTGAGTCCAGCTCCTTCAGTGCACAGTCCTGGCTGACCAAGCCAGTGAAATTTCCAGCTCCACTGTGCACTCCTCTGTGCACACTGCTCTCTCTTCCACTTACTCCAGCCTCGTTTCCACTTCTTTATCTCCATACTTGCCAACCCCTAGGGATTTCTGGGAGCTGTAGTTCAAATTAAGTCAGCACAGCTCTCCAGACTGCCCCCTGGTTTCTCCTGCTGTTAAACACATTACATTCACACAACACAGTGATAGCTAGTGATTTTCACAGCAGGAGAGCAAGAACCCACATGGTAACACAGCAGATACCAGAAGCTAGAAAAAGTGTAGCATGACTGCAAAGAGAATGGTGCCAGTCTATCAGTGCTACAGAAAAACCTAGGTTTTGGGTCTAAGCAGCAAAAGCCCAGTTTCTAGATCTCCACTAACGTTTAAGTTTCTAAAAAATAACCTTATTTCTCAGAGCATTTCTGGTCCTCTTGGCACACCAGTAGGCACATTTTTGAGCACTTGGCACATACAACATGCATTGCAGTGTGAAACAATCCTTAAAAGGTGACCACATATTTTACTATGTAAAGGAGAGCTGAGCTCTTTTGAAAAATCAGGTCACAATTATTACTGCTGAACCATTAGGAAAATCCTGCCCATTCCCTTCTTGCTATTCAAGATAAAATACCCTAGAAAAGATGAAATAAGAATGAAATGTATTGCCATTATGTTTTATTCTGAAGCTCATCTTTTTCTTATGTCATTTTTTTTTTCTTCTGGGATATAAAGCACCTAACTGAACACAGAGAAGCTCATCAGGAAAACAACTTTGGGAGAACAGATTTTCTTTATCCAGCAAAGGCTTTGGACAATGTATATTGTGTAGCAACATTTCTTATGGTAATTTATTTTCATTCTTTTGGCTACTGATAGGGAGACAGTACAGTCATGAGTGACTGGTGCCTCCTGAATCTGGGGGGCACCCGCAGAAGCTGCCGACAGCGGCAGCCCTGTCAGAGGGGGCACCGTCCTGCTGACAGCGTCAGTGTCAGCCGTTGGCGGGGGCACGTGTACCTCCGTGCATCCCCTACCAGTCGCTTTTGAGTACAGTTGTACTCTGTGCACAGCAAAGACCAAATTCTGCTCTCCTTTACACTGATAAGTCCTATTAGCTTTTGTGGAACTGCACACAAACAAACATTGGGACTGGGGTGCCTTATTTTAGTGCTGAGGAGTTGTGGGGTACTCTGAAAAATATACGCTCCATTGTTTAGAGTGCACTGCCACAGCACTATTATAGACTCACTACAACTGGATGAAATAAGCAACATGTATGTTTTTGTGATTAATTTCATGACAGTTATGGAGAGTGCCCATTTCAGGTCAGGACTAAGATGCACTGGCAGAGTCATTTGGATGCACAGGACTGCAATTGCAGAGGTTAATGCCAGACAGGAGCTAGCACAACTAGCAAAGGGATGCCAAAGAAACTTGCACAGAGCCAGTTCATATTATCCACACTTGGTTAGTTCTAGACAATGCTATTTTGGCAAATGAGGGACAGATCTGCAGCTGAAATAAATCAGTGCTGCTTCATTGACTTCAGTGGAGAGACACTGACTTACATCAGCTTAGATTCTAGCCCTTAATGTGGAAATGAATCGCATGCTGTGATTTGTATGATTATGCAGTGAATCACAGAAATGTCTTCACTGTGTTATCTCATGGCCCAAAAGACCTTAGAGGAAAATTCAGCCATCACCAGATGAGACAGAGCAGGTAGGGGATTTTTTGACACAACATTTTTAATTGCCTAATACTAATTCATTTGCACTGAAAGTGATCACAGAAAAGCTTCCGTTTGAATAAGCTTCCTATTTAAAAAATGCAAAAAGAGAAAGTTTTGAAATTGTCAGAGCATTCTGTTTTGATTGCTTTAAATACAAAAGTCCATTTTCTTTAGAAACTTACAAGAAAACAGGAGTTAAAATTGAAACACGCCACTTTGCTTGACTTAATATGAAATTGGTTTTGGAGTTCACTGGCAAAAATAGAAAAAGCTTGTCTAAACTCTTTCCCAATTATGCAGTTGTCCAATACAAGATATAATGCCAAAAAAAAATTGCCCCTGGATGGAAAAAGCATTTACCTCCCAGATGCTTAGGAGGTCTAAATTTATTCCACAATCTCCTTGCTATCCCCAACACACACACACACACACACACACTGCTTCCCAATATTGCCAATCAATCAGGAAGGAAGGAACAAATAACTTGGTGTTCTGAATGTTTAAAGTATTGAACTGCTACTTTGACTTCAGTGGACTGTTAAAAGTATTGACAGAGCAGCAGAAGTATTAAGAGAGAAACTACTATGGGGACTTTGCCACAGAAGCTTTTAATTTGCAGCACACTATTTAAAGAAAATGTCTGCTTCTCAGAGGATCCACTCAGATATCTGTGGGCTTGCAAAGTGGCAGCTACCCAGATCTCCCTTGGCTGTAAACAGCAGAAAATACTTTTACATTTACCTCCCACACACAGTCGGCTTTGCCTACGTTTGTCTTGTTCAGTTCCTCAAGGCAGTGCACTTCCAGGAACCATAAGTGAACCTCAGAAAACATAGTTCAAGTAAGCTCCCAAAATGTAGGAGCTTGATCCCAATTTTCCTTCCATTGGCTTGTTTGAAAAATGTGCAATACTAGAGAATGACAGGTAGACTAGTGATTTAGGCACTGGACTGAGATTCAGTTCTTGCTTCAATTCCGTCCTCTATTACACATTTCCCAGTGTGACCCTGGGCAATTCACTTAGGACCAGTTTCACAAAGGTGTTTACCCTGGATTTCAGTGGTAATGGAGGAATTAGTGGTGTAACTAGGGTGGGGGCAATAGGGCAGCCACCCTGGGCACCAACTTTCACTGACTTTGGAGTATGTGAAAAAAAGCAGATGCTGCTGGCCACCACATTTTCATTTGCTTTCATGATCACAAACTAGAAGTCATCACTTCTGCTTTGCCCCAGGTGCCCAGCTTTGTGCCTATACGGATGCTAAATATTGCTTCCCCTACCTCTTGACCCCTGCATATTACTAACTTTCCCCACTTACTCCATCTATTGGGCAGCTAAGTGGATTTAGGTGGCTACGGACCCTGACAGATGTTAATTTAAAGGCACAATGGGATCTGATGTGAGATCCCAATAAGCACACTTTTTGCCATGCCATATGTGCATGGTAGGAAGTCTGCAGGGGGAAAACAATCCCAGGCACTTCCTGCAGCACCAAGTAGCAGGTTTAGCTCTTAGGCTCCACACTTGGTACACTCCCACAGCTGGGAGCTCTGGTCAGCTGATAGAAGTTCCCTGTGCTTCTGCACATGGTGTGATCCCTGGTTAAGAGCCCTAATTGGGAGCTTCCAGCCTCTGGAGCATACTACATGGGAGTCTTGAAAGCTCCAGAGTGTTCCAGGTGGAGCAGAATCTGGCCTTAAATTCCTGCACTTCTGCTTATACTGTTAATACTTCTAAATGTCCAAATACTCTTTTCTATGTGCATCTGCAGTGTCCCTCAAAACAAGGCCCTGAACTCGGTTCAGGCCTCCAGGTAACTCTGGAATAGAAAAAATGCACAATAATTTGTTTTTGCTGTGTTCTCCTGTAGCCAGTCAAATTCTCATCTGAATAGTTCTGTGTTGGCATTTTAGTACTTGTTTTCATCTCTGGATAACTACTAGGAAAGGCAGAAGCCTGTGTAAATTAATATGCTAATATTAACTAAAATTTTTTGAAGTGCTCAAAAAGCAAATGTGTGAGTTGGCCTTCATTTTATTCTAACCATTTTGTTTTCCCTAAATATACCTACTGTTGCTCTGGGACCAGCCTCTGAGATGAGCTCCTCTAGATTTGCACAGGTATAAACTAAGATAGAATCGAGCCCTATGTGTCTCTCCATTTCTTTCCCTGCTCTCCCAGCTTGTCGCATACTGGTTTGTTTTGGGGTTTTTTTGTTTTTGGGGGGGAGGGGCTGGGCAGGTTCTTGTTTGTCACAAACTGGACACTAGGACTGCATCCAGATGAGTGTAGATGTTTGGTTCTCCACGGACAAATAGGAGAGGTGCACCTATGCCACACGCATTGTACCACCGCTACTTGTCCTTGGGACACACCCATGCCACACGTTTTGGCACATGGCAAGTTATCCCAGGGGCAGTAGTTGAGGCTGGGGCCAGTACTGTGCTGGCCCCAGCAGCCTTACCTGGGGGCCTCTCTCGGCTGTAGCTGCAGCAATCTCGTTGGGCAGAGCCTGGCTGGCAGACGCAGCACAGCTCCGGGTGGCCTGGCTCCACTTTTAATGGCATGCACTGCTCCATTTTTGTTCCAACAGTTTTTCTGACCACTGACTATCCAGGAATCAAAAAAACCCATGGAAAAAAAAAAACCCAGAGCAGCGCATGCATGGGCAGCATGCCTCCACAGTGCGGAGAACACCTGACTGTGGTAAGTAATGCTGCAGACATGTTTGCAGCGCCATATACCACACGGCACGCTCAGGCTCATCTGAACGTGCCCTTGGTGGCTCAATTTTCTGCTGTTTTGCATGTTGTACAGTCAACTGAAAAGCAAGTATAAAAGATATCCTTGCTGTGAGTGGAGATTAGGTTGTATTTCATAGCCACGCCTTCAACTAAAGGGAAACATTTGGGATCAACTAAGCCACAGATGGGGGCAATATGACTTTACATTCACTCTGTCATAGACTTTTGTTGGCCCAGTTACCCTTCAGTTGAATCGATTCCTGATTGTAAGGGCATAGAATGAACTGGCAGACTGTAATCCCCAGCACGCACGCACGCACGCACACGGTTTTCTACTTTCATTTTTTTCTCCTTGGTGAACTCTGCTAGGACCTCTGTTCCTTAAAACAGCTATAGAGCAAATCTAATCACTGAGTTTAGGGCAAGCAAATAACAACTAATTAATAACCCCTGAGAAAAAAAGTGAAAGTGGAATTCTCTAGATCAGCTGAGCCATAATGGCATTAATTTCATTAATTAAAAACTGATCTGGAATTTCTGTTTGACTGTGGGAGCAGCTGGGCTCACTAGAAGCTGGCAGGATGGCATTGCTTTATTAGTTAGACCTTTTCCTCCTCCCCTTGTTTTAATTAAATGAAGGCATTTGATACCAAAACCTTTTGACATCCCTCCCAGTCACCCACAGGTATGCTAGGAGGCTCATCCTGTTCACAGCATCACTGGCAGTTCCTGAGGGCTGGCTTTTGCCACAGTCAGCAGTAATGTATGTCACAAATTCAGAGAGTCTTTTGTTCTGATGATTGTACTCACTGCCTCAAGAAACTGCTCAGAAACTGGAAGGTATTGGCATGAATTTTTTTCCTTCTTTCCCAGCCACAGCTTCCAGGATCTCTCGAATTTATCTAAGGTGAATCAGCAGGGTAAAAAGCCAGAAGTGACAAGGATACATGAAAGGCTTGATCTTCAGTGATGACTTTTTGTCATTTTATTGAAAACAACTTTATATTTTTTATTCCTCTCTGCCTTCAAATCCTCATTCAAAACCTTTTCCTCTACAAAGCCTTTTAATAATGACCTCAGTGGTATCCCTACACCTCCAATTCAACCCAACACACCATGTGTTTGTTTGTGTCTGTGTGTCTGAGCTAGATGGTAAACTTTTGGGACCTGGACTGTGACCTAAGCAATCTTCTTACTGCTTATTGATTTAATTAACTCCACAGACTTCAGTGGAGTTATTACTCATTTACATTGTTTAGTAAGAGAGAAGAATCAGGCTGATGGCCTTGGGATGGCATACAAACATTTTCAAATATAACAGAATATTATCAGCACATAATGATGTTGTGCTCTGTAGACAATTAAGACTAACAAAGAGCATCTAATATAGAAAAGGGCCAAATAATCCCTGTGTAACTCCACTGAAATTAAATGCAGCTGCCCTAAAAATGAATTGAACCATTAATGACAATTATTACTGTGGAGTTTACCATCTCTACATAACTTGCCAGCGATTTTTCAAATATAATACACTACCACTAGTTCCATGTTATAAGTCCCATGTCTACATGGTAAATTTACTGTGCCGGGCATCAGCGGTCTCAAACATGCCAAGTTGTTGAATTAAAGCCTTACTTAATGGACAAGGCATATAAGCATATGCTTCATTTCAAGTGCATCTTTTCGTATCATTAGTATCCCATTCCTTTGCATTTCTGGTTTTGCTAAGACACAAATTTTAAATAAGCATCAAGCACCCAGTTCTCACCAGTTTTATATTAGTGTAAAACAAACAGGAGCTAGGCACTCTTTTTCTAAAAAGAGACCATCTGCGCCTGGTGTTAGGCAGGAATAGTTAACCATGAACAGCACTGTGCACAAGTAGACTCCACCTATGGAGTTACTTCTAACTATACTGGCAGATGAAAGAGGAGACACAGACCCTGCAGTCTTAGAGGCTTATGCAAATCCAGGTTCTCGACTTTGGAGGTTTCTCCCTCATTTTTCAATCTCACATAACCCTGAAATTAGAGAGAGCTGCATATCCTAAAGCAGTATTCTTAAGTGTTCAGTCAAATTTAGAAGTTCATGGATCTCCTTATTTCTAATTGATGTGACCTGTTTCTCTCTCTTGCTGGGAGTTTTGGAGAGGGTGACTGTGCTTCCTGCAAGCAAAGGCATTCAGATGTTAACAAGCGTATTTTGCCATATTATCAAGCAGCTCAGATAACACTGTGCAAGTCAGGTGACCAAACACAGACCCCAGAGACAAAGTGAAGAACCTTTGCTCATCCCAAAGACTGAACATTGTTTATCCAGGCGATTTGAGTATAAAGCCCATACATAAAAAAAACCCCAAAACAAAACAAAACCCTCTAAACGTTCTCCAGAATCAGTACTGGTTTGCATATGATTCACTAACAGAAATAAAGAGGCTAAACTCGTCAAGTCATTTCTTTCAGTGAATAATTCAACTGGAAATGAAATAGTCTTATATATGTAGCTTTGAAAGGCTTAAGGTGTGTACTTGTTTTTCTTTTTCTTCAGCCTACCCATTCTAAGTAACCCCATCAGTTGACTGTCAGCAGCCTAGATGCACTAGCATTCACCTCTGAAAAAAGGTCCAATCCTTGTCTAGTGGTTTGATTACCATCTCATGAAATCCAAATAATGTCTGGCTGCAGGAAAACTAAGACATAATCCCATCATCATCTTCTGTTACACTTTCACCTACAAAATATGCAGTGTGGTGGCATGTCTCTGCTTCACCAATGCGAAAATAATCACCAAAGTTCACAAACACCAGTACATAAGAGCTCATGTTCTCAGTGGGAAATGTCATATTGATCACTCTCACAGTGCTGAAAGAACAGATTGCACCCCCCCCCCCTTGAAAAGTGCAGTTTATCTAGAAAATTGACATCCTCACTCCACCAGCTTTCAAACATTCTGGCAAACCACAGTGCCCTACAACAGCTACTGGAGAAGTCTTGAAAGACTGTAGATCCAGTTTAAAGAAGCACAGCAGAAATTTAATAGCCAAATTCAGCTCTGACATGAATGGTCAGTCACCCCATTGACTTTAAATGTCAGGGCTGAAATTGCTCCTAGACTCTCGACTTTGGCCAGGCTGCAGTTGGAGTACTGCATCCAGTACTGGGTGCCACACTTCAAAAGGGATGCGGCCAGCCTGGAGAGAGTTCAGAGGAGGGCCACCTGCTTGGTGAGAGGGCAGCAGGACAGGCCCTACAAGGAGAGACTGAGGGACCTGAACCTGCTCAGCCTCAGGAAGAGGAGGCTGAAGGGGGGACCTGGTGGCTGCCTACAAGCTCATCAGGGGGGATCAACAGCAAATAGGTAGAGCCCTTTTCTCCCCAGCACCACCTGGGGTGACAAGGAACAATGGTAATAAGCTGATGGAGAATAGGTTTAGGTTAGAGATCAGAAGGCAATATTTTACAGTTAGGGTGGGCAAAATCTGGAACCAACTTCCCAGGGAAGTGGTCCTCGCCCCTACCTTGGGCAAATTCAAGAGGAGGTTGGACAATCATCTGTCTGGGGTCTTGTGAACCCAGCATTCATTCCTGCCTGTGGCAGGGGGTCAGGCTAGATGATCTGTTCAGGTCCCTCCTGACCCTAGCTACTATGATATACTTTTACAAAATGATTTATATATGCTTTGCCAAAATTAGGGACACTGGAAATGCTGGGCTAGATCAATGCCCCTGTAGTTCAATGTCCTGTATGAGCATCCAGGATCATATGCTTCGGAACAGAACCCCAGAGGATGAAACTATTGGCACCTATATATGTGCCCAATGCCTGCTCCAATGCATGCTAATTTGCACATTTCAGAGTAGACATGATTAATTGACTCTATTGGAATGTGTTAATTAACACGTTCCAGTAGCCTCAGCATCTCATATATTCAGCATCCCCATGCTTCAGAATGGTGGTAGGGGAACTTCTCTCCTCCAAAGTCTTCTCCCAGTATTCTTTCCTCCAAACTAAATAATCCTAGCTCTTTTAGCTTTTCCTCGTAAGTTTTGCTTCTGAGGCCCCTAATCATTTTTGTTGCTCTGTGCCAGACTATTTCCAATTTGTCTACATCCTTCTTGAAGTGTGGGGCCCAAAGCTGCACACAGTACTCCAGGGGATCATTCACCAGTGCTGAATAGAACAGAAGAATCACTTAACTTGATTTGCTAGTGGTACAACACAACCCAAGATGCTGTTGTCTTTTTTTTGCAACAAAAGCACACTGTTGTTCTAGGTGAGGCTTCACCAGTGCAAAGAGTGGGAGAATCACTTTCTTTGATTTGCAAATGAAACTTCTATTAATACATTCCAGTATGATATTATCCTTCTTTGAAAGAAGAGCATGCTGCTGGCTCATATTCAGCTTATGGCGTACTGTAACCCCCAGGTCCTTCTCTCCATTACTGAAGCCCAGCCAATCAAGTTCAAGACTCTGCACTTGCCCTTGTTCCATCTTATGTGATTGACTGTGGACCATTTTGTCTAGTCTATCAGGTCATTCCAGATTGCAGCCCTGCCCTTCAGAGTGTGTGCAACTCCATCCAACTTGGTGTCACCTGCAAATTTTCTAAGTATGCATTCAGTCCCATCATCCAAATCATAAGTGAAGATATTAGCCAATACTGGACTGAGGACAGACCCCTGAGGAACCCCACTTGATATTTCCTCCCAACTAGACACTGGGTGCATCTACATGAGACACTTTACTGCACCTTTGCCTAATTTACTGTGCACTATGGGCAGGTGTTTCCACAGTAAAAATGGCTAATCATGACGAAATATGATACCTGCAAATGCGGTAGTTAAAGCACAATAACTCACATGTAGATGTGTTCCAGCATGAACTTTAGTGCCGAGTTTGCCCTGCCACTAGGGGGCTGCCCTGAGCCCAGTCCCAGGGCTCCTGGATGGGTGCCTCTGGTACCCCAGGGCTGGGATGCTTTGTGGCAGCCCCTAGCTGCAGGCTATAAAAGCCACCAGCCATTTTTTGCCCTGGGGCGCACACACCAGGATCTTGAAGCACTTCAGGCTCCATGTGCTCCCCTGGACAGGACCCCAGCTGTTTCTGCCAGTCTTGTCCCCTAGCCAGAGTAGCTGTTTGGCCAGAAGTGAGTGTTGCAAAGGGCTGCAAAGAGATCCCCTCCCCCCC